ACCCTGTTAGGGGACTATTAATGTGTGGGGATGTGGAAGTGTCGTTGTTTAGCTCTGTGGGATAAAAAATTTGCCATATGACTTATTTTTATTTTGTTCTAACTGATAAACATTGGTGAAGCAGGGCTGGAAGGTAAAATGATCTCACAAAGGTTGGGCTGCGGCAGGCCCAGAGGACGGCAATTCAGGAAATTACCACAATCGCCAAGAGATCGTGGCTGTCACTGAAGTGTGAAGGGCTGCCAGTCACCCTGCAATCACCCAGGTCTGATTACACTGCAGGGTATCTTGTGATAAGAGGCCGGGGTAAACACAAAAGATGACGTGAGGTACTGTTGGAAACATACCCGAGTTGTCAGCAACATCACCCTATCAAGTCCTATTAAACAAACAGAGACACTATGGAAAAGTTCACTCCTGTTTCCTCTCTGGACAAATCTGCTTAGTTGTTGTTTCACTGGTTGGTGAAGTTCTGTTAAAGAGTATCGTGCTGAGGGATTTTTGTTTTCTCTGACTGAGAAAACAAGGATAGTACACCTTCTCTGGGTGGTAAACAGTCGGTCACATGACCATAGGAGCATACCCTCCTCGAACATGATGACCTTCACGCTTTATTCATAACTGAAGCTGTGAACTCATCTGGAAATTACTGCTGTCACAGAGCGAGGTAACTAATCGCTGTGCAGACTTATTTACAGTCAGACAAGCAGAGCAATCGCTCCCTACTGGCCATCAAAAGGAATGCAGGTTTAAGGCTTAGCATTGGCTTCATTTTATTACACCTGTCCATCTTTTAGACTGTCTGCCAGTTTGTGTTTTGTGCTTCAGGTAGAGAGCAGAGTAGCAGAAGGTTTGACAGAATAGAGACGTATGAAGGACATCTGTGTCCTTCTAAGTGCTTCTAAAATACTGTAAGGTGATTTAGATAGATTTAAATCACCTTAAGAGACTCCAGAGTAAGACTAACTCCTCAGGTTCAGGGCTTTGCTACTAAATATGCAATAATCAAAACATCTGGCCTTGTTTTAAAAGATAAACTCAGGATTTTAAAGGCTTTTTATTTTGCTTGTTCTAAATTTCTCAACCATACAGCTGATTGGGAAGCTGGAGGAAAAGTGCAACCTGCTGCCTTCCGACTATAAGAAAGCACTGTCTGCAGAGCCCGATGAGATCATGTACACAACCCCCGGGGATGTGGGAATCTTCTACGATGACAATGGTAAGCATGAAGTGTCAGGATTACTGGCAGGGTAAGACTGTCTGAAAGGCCTTAAACCTGCTTGTGAGTTTCCTCTGAAGTCTGAGGACTCAGACTGTGCTACAGACATCCAACCACCCACAACGCACCCCAAAGAAAGAAGCACTGAGAGGCATTTTAAGGTTTTGATAAGTTGACTCCCCCTCGTGCTTCACAGTGGTTTGATCCCGTCCCAGATCACAGAGAGACAGACGCTGGAAAAGATGAGAAGCTCGGGTGTGGGGCGGGGGCTTCACGGTCACTTTGCTTCCTATTCTGGCGTCTTCTATTCAAGACATGTGGATGTCTTTTCTGACTTGCAGCAAGTCTGCAGACGTTAGTTCAAGTGAAATGAACTCTTATTGCTGCAGCATACCAAGATGTTTTTGTCAATTTTATGCTCCCAACTTTGTGGGAAGGCATAGGCATGGCTCCTCCTGTTCCAACATGACTGCGCACAAGTGCAAACAGCGAGGTCCATAAAGACATGGATGAGCGAGTTTGGTGTGGAAGAACTTGACTGGCCTGCACAGAGTCCTGACTTTGAGACTGTGAGCCAGGCCTTCCTGTCCAACAGCAGTATCTGAACTCACATATGTGCTTCTTGGAGAATGTCCAAGCCGTGGGCCAACATATTAAACCCTATTGATTAAGAATGGGATGTAACGCAAGTTCATATGTGTGTGAAGGCAGACAGTGAATATTTTTGGCAACATAGTGTATATGTGCAATGAGATTTACCTGTATAAATAAAGGTGGAAATGAACTGTTTATTTTTCCAGGTAGGAAGTTTGTCAGCATCCTGATGCGTTTCTGGTATCTAACGAGCGCACGCCTTCCCGAAGACTCCATGGAGGGAACTCGTATCTTCCAGATGGCCATTGGAGAAGGAGAACCAGAAACTAAGAGACTACTTACTGCAATTTATGAGTGAGTATCTTTTTTTTTAAAATATTTCTGTACATTTTTCAGTTACTTGGAGTCATTCTGATCTTTCCTTTTACCTCTCTGACAGATTCCAGAGGGAGTTTACTAAAGGAGTTCCTCCAGACTGGACCATCACCAGGATAGAGCACTCCAAGCTTTTGGACTGAGGTGGTGTTGAAAGAAAAATAGTCACAGCTCAAGATTATCCACACAGGGGGGAGTGAGACACAGCTCCTCAATGAAAAGGACTAAGTTGGATTTTTCCACAATTTACTTAAGCAAAGACACAGGAGCCAATCACAGCCGCTCTACTAAATACCACCTTGGACTCCTGGTTTGTTTCCTCGCTCTTTCATGACGTAGAAATTAGAGTTTCAAGCCTGATTTGGCTTGTAACCCCTGCTCTCAAAAGTCGAACACTTTCAGGAAGAAAATGTTATCTTCCAGTTAACCGTCATGTGATCCCAGATGGGTGGGGTCTTCAGACAGATTAAGAGCAACCAGCTGATTTGAAATGAATACATTGTGATGGTGCTGATGCGATAAATGTCTCCCAGCTCAATCTGACCTGAGTCTGACGAAGTGACTGAAACCACTGAGATTTTTTAAATCTTTTTTCAGTCGTTGATCTGCTGCTGTGTATTCTCATCTTTAAAAGCTGAACGCATTATGAGATTAAACACTTCATGTGAAATCATTCCTTGAGAGAAAACACTCACTGTTTTTCAGAGAAGACCGACCGACGTCTGCTTCTGTAACTGTGGAGCTGCGATCAGGATGTATGTGGCATTTTTTTTGTTTTTATTTTTTGTCTCTGATTTATTTCCTGACCCTTTGCCTTCAGGAGTTTTTGGAGTATGAACCTGCTGTACATGTGTCTCTGATGGTTAAGGCAGCTTCACAAAGCTGCAGCAGACTCGGTTTTATTAAAGATTTGAGGAATGAAGTGTATGCTGCTCCTGTGCAGTTTATGACGCGTTTGTTGGTATATATGATGACAGCATGTTTGTGGATGTTCTAGGTTTTTAAAAAATAAACAAAACTATTGGAGAGGGGTGGGGTTTTTTTTGTTTTTTTTTTAGGAAAGACTAAATTTCCAAAATTACAAAACTGAAACCTTTTAAATAAGAAAAATCGAAAGTTTTTCTTAAAAATTTGTGATTTCAATCTCAGAATTAGTAAAACATTTTATTTTTTTAGATTGTTTTCATATATTCGTTATTATGTATATAGATTTTAATTTAATTATTAACATATTTTAAATTTTTCTGCTTCAAAAGTATAGCCTAGCTGATACAGTCCACACAGGCCAAGGACACTGTCACTAAAGCAAGCAGGCAAGAATGATTTGTATTGCGCTCACTTTACAGAAAACAAACTAAAAACCCTGAATGAGCCACAGTGAATTTATAAACATTGTCTATACTTAGATTATTGCCGGCATCTATCAGAGCTTGTGTTTAAATTCTCTTGTTGTTTGCTTTCAGACAGAGGAGCTCTGAGAAACACTTTGTAGCACACATTGAACACTTTATATCTTTGGCTGCCTGATACACTCAAGCGATGGTTCTAAACTTGATTATATACACCAATAAAAATCTAGTGGCCCGTACGGGGATCGAACCCGCGACCTTGGCGTTATTAGCACCACGCTCTAACCAACTGAGCTAACCGGCCAGGTGTTAATAAGTGCCCGGTCCCCGCACGCCGACATTCTTACGTTGTCAGCAGGACTCCAACTTTTTCCTCTTGTCCGTGTCAACGGTGTCACTCATTCATATACAGGGCCGGTTAGCTCAGTTGGTTAGAGCGTGGTGCTAATAACGCCAAGGTCGCGGGTTCGATCCCCGTACGGGCCAGTTTAAAATTTATTGGGCAGCTTTGGTATGTGGATTAAAAAAGAGAAGAAACAGACAATATTGCCATTCTGTCGCAAGATACACTGATCTACACCAAATTTGGACCCAATAGTGGTGTCAAATATTAGAATCATCACAACAAAGACTCAAATTCGAACAACTAAAAGCTGCTTTATAAGAATAGTCTCGGCAAAAACTAACTAATGCACATTGCACATACATATCTTATACTTATTCTTCTATTATACTCTTATATTAAGACTTCTTAATTAGATGCGCAGTTAAAGCCATGCATGTGTGCATGCATATGGACATGGGAAGAGGCCTGAATTACACAATCACACAGAAACAGCCCAGTCAGGATGCCCTATTGCTGTGAGGCAACAGTGCTCACCTCTGCGCCACCACCTTGAGAAAAATATCACAGACACACATATGCTTGTATTTTTTCTTTAAAAATAAATTACTTTTGAATTTCACTTTGGATTAATCACTTTAAGAAGATATGAATTTGAGATTCATTTTGAGACAGATTTATTGTCTCAAAATGAATCTCACGAGTCTCAAAACTTTTTAATTAAAGAAAAAGTTTTGGGGTTTTTTTGTCTTGGGATTATACAATCAGATTTTCAAGGGGGAAAAGGGCATGGTATTGGTATTTGTCTTTTAATTTTTTCCAGTTGGCAGCTGCCATGAATGCTGTATAATTTGCACTTTAATTAATTATTTTAGCTTTGAAATTGTCACAGATTGACTAATGTTTAATTGCTTGAAAAATATATATACATATAAATAAAGGTAATACTGTTAATAACACACAAGATGATAAAATTTGAAAATAATAAGAAAAAACTTAACAACAGCTGCTAAGCTAAGCGTAGCTATTTCTCGCGTGAAACGTGTGACTTCCTATTTGCTCTCTCATTGGTCCATTTCATTTAGAGCTTTACACCCATTGGCCGGTCGAGCTGCCACTCTTTGGGTGTGCGGCGTGTGGTTCCTGTTGTGAGCTTCAGCCGGTGTCTGACAGCCTGGCGGGGAACGAACAGAAGGAAAATGGAATCGTGTAGCTCAGACATCAGTGAAATTTAAAAGCCACACTCACGGTGGAAGCATGAAGCTCGCCGCGGTGGCTTTTTACGGTTTGGCCGCGGGGCTGCTGGCGGTCGGCCTGCGAGAGTTGCTGACAGGCTTCGAGGAGAACAGATGCAGTATGACCTATATGTTTGAATACCCGGAGTATCGGGTGAGTACTCAGCTAATTAACTCAGAGCATTCCAAAGACCCGCATATCAGCCATCAGTTAGGTATATTCGGTGTGCTGTTTAAGGCAGAGGCTGGTTGTGTGTCGCTAAGTGGCTTCTTATTTTTATTAGCGCGAATGAATGTTGGTTTATGACTGCCAGGTGTGTTCTAAGCTAGTTTCTGAAGGCTGCTAGCGTTAACTGAGGGAGAAAGTAATGTCAGGTGCGTGGCTACCCTATCAGTGTGTGTGGTCGCTCTTTGACCTCCCTGACAGGTGTGTGAGTGTTTGTTTGCTGAGGTTTAGGTTAGTCGGATTATTATCAATGCAGCTTGAATTAACTGCTGATGCTTGACCCCTCTCAGCAGGTCACCTGCAGATCAGCTTTGCACGATATCGGACGTGGGTTAAATGCACACAGGTCCAAGCCTCGTGAAAGTAGTTGAAGTGGTCGCCTTCCTCTCTTCAATATGCGCACTAATGGGTTCATCTGTCCAGAAGTGGGGCACAGCTGGAGGCCATGCGCCATGTGGGCATCAGCCCGAGTCCACACAGTTCAGGAGTGTGTGTTCTGTTAGCGAGAACAAGGATTCAGAGTCCCACTTTATGTAGATATGCTTAATGTGCACAATGGACAGAGTATCGGGAACAGAGTTCCGAGATATACAGGGCGGAAATGTATGGAGGTCGAAGACGGCCAAAATTTAAAACAAAGTCTTCAGAAAATAAATTGACATGATGTTAAAAAGAATAAAACAAATGCATCCATTTTAAGATGTGATATAAACTAAAAAGATATTTCTATGTTAACTGGCTTCTTTATTTATTTAATTTTAAATTAAAAATTAAACAAAACCTTATTTACCGTTATTTACCTTTCGGTTTAATTTTAGTGTTAAAGGATTAACATTTCAAATACTTGAAAAACAGAAACAAAAGTCCCGTTCAAGCCAGGATATGAACTAGCAAGTCATAGACTACACAGGTGTAATGCACAGACCCAGATACCTGCTAACTAGGACTAATAAAATAGACACCAAAGCTACACACTTGCCCCAGCAGCAAAATGTGGTGTAGAGGTGCAGTTAAGTCACTAAAATTAGCAGAAGTGAGGCCCACCAGCCAGCTGTCAGCTACAGCTGTCTATATTGGCACACCGATCAGTCAAACTGGCCATGCCCTTAATGTTAAGGCTTCAAAAAATAAGAACAGTTGAGTTAAAAAATTTCACCCAGTACAGTTGTTAAAGGAAGAAATTATCTATTGACAAGCTGTAAACATCTTTATTTCTGCTTTAAAGGTGGACAATTTAACACTAGAGTCAATGGGGACACAGTTAGAGCATCTAGTGGACATTAGAGGAACTGCACCTTGTAGTATTTTTGTGTTGGCTCAGTGCTTTTGCCACGTGGTTTTGACATCTCACATATGCTTCCCAGATATATTATTAACTTCTTTTGAAAAATGATCTTATTTTAAAACTGTCTGTAAGGTGTTTTATTTTAGATAGTCTCTTTGCTCTTATTTTGAAAGGTCAGCAGGTGTGTGTATGTCTGAAAATAACTGCTACAATATCCCACCATGAGACATCACATGCACGGTTACTTTATTTTAAACATCAAAGTAAATGGTCCTGACTGACAGCTTTATTTTCAGCTCTCTAATCCCCTGACTCGAGAAGGCCATTTCTGTCGTGAGCCGAGTGTCGATCAAACGGCAGGTGAAGAGATGACACTTTGAAGGACACTGCCCTCGTTCGTTTCGTGAAACAGAAATTCATGAAGAAATGTAAAAAGATAACAAAACAGCCAAAATTCACTTCACTTCCAGAATTACAATGTTAATGAGACATTGTTACCAAGTGTTAACACCGTTTATAAGTCAGTTAATACAAAATGTATCCATTTACTTTCAATAAAATCCCCCCTTTGATAACTAAGACATTTAGAAGCGTCTCATTTAGACACAAAGCCCTCAAATTGATGTCACACATGACCATAAAATAAACTGCACTCAGGCGCACAGTCTCATCACCTTTGGTTTAATGTCACATCCATAAACCTCAATTTATTTTTTTAGACGAGCATTCAATCTAATATTTCTTTGTCCCTAAAAATTAGGTTATTATAATGTTTTCACAGGTTGGATCAGAAGTCTTTGTCTTATAAAATTAAAGTGCCTCTATTGTCCCAATAAACAGGTTCGTTTTTAGGTTAGGGGGTCACCATTTTGGTACAATAAGTACATTTCATTTGAAAAGGAAATATGGAAATAAACAGGTTTAAGAAAACGATCGATGACCATAAATTGTTTTTAAATCATGCTACACTTTAAAAACATGTCAAATTTTAAATAGACAATGGCGTAAATTCATAGGTAAATGAATAAAGAAGCAGTCAGTAAGTTCAGTTTTTTTGTTTTTCTTAGTCATTTGAGGACTTTTAATTTTGACACTTTGGGCCCTCCATAAAAACCAAGTAAACGTATTTATTTCTTATGAATGTTGGGCATTTCATCAGAGTGTCAAACTAAAATGAGAGTTAGCGCTTTGTCATACTGCAGCTCCCCAAATGACTTGTACCTGACAATCCCAGAATGTCCTGTTAAAAATTTCTAGGGGAAAAAATGAATTTTTAATAGGACTTACATAAAATTTCAGCTCCTTACTGTCCATACTTCCGTTCATTTCAAACACCCCACCTCCCCGACAGAATTATTCCCTTAATGGTCAATACAAAAAGCTAGTGTTATAGTATATTTGTCACTTTTAAACATTAAGGATCAGCTGTACTCATGCTCAGTGTTTGCGTAGGTGCTTGGAGTAAATCAGCTGTAGATTACATGTAGGCTCAGCTGTAGTTGCTTTATAGCAAGCTCTTTGTGATGTAACTGTGACAGCAGGCTAATGAGCTGTGTGAGTTTTTGCCTCCTAACCGCTCTCCGTGTGGTTTCAGCGTGTGGCGCTGCCTCGCCGTGTGGCCAGACTGTACCCGGCCTACGGGCTCTACCTGTACGGAGAGGGTGTCTACGCCCAGGAGACCCGAGCACTCAAACTCACCGGCGCCCCTGTGCTTTTCCTGCCTGGAAATGCCGGAAGTTATAAACAAGGTAAGAGTGCAAAGTTGATAATGGTCCAGTGCTTACATTTAAACTATCATGAACGAGTGGGGGGAAAAAACTGAGAAGTTAAGTTTTGTGCTACAGCAAAGACAAAGGAGAAACGGAGGACATCAAGCTTTTTGTTGAGTCATTTCTGGCTGAAAAAACAAACTGAAGTTTCCTTCACAAACAGAAATTTTTGTCTTTGTGATGCTTGCTTTTTGCACATGAGGGGTTAAAATGTCCAAAGTTAGTGTTGTGTTTGCGCTGTGAAACTAAGGGCTGTTTTCTTCTTCAACAAATGACATTCCTTGTTAAGAGACCAGGGAATCGCGTGGTCTAAAACTACTTCCTCCCATGTATTTGTACTCTGACACATGAAAAAAACTGCAAAACCAAAAGTTGGTATGATGTGTGACAGTCTCTCTCTGCTCAGCCAGTTGTCATCAAGAGTACCTCACAGCCCCCAACTCACTAAGAGGAGCATCGCTTGAAACCTTTTAAAAGCATAAATTTAACCTGAATAGAAAAATGGTGGGAGGTTTTATAAAGGTGAAATAGCATAAAAACTGTTTCAGACCACAGCTGTATATCTGTTTCCATACTGTTGTGAATATGGATTGTCAGACAGTGGCACCTGCTTGAGCCTGCTGGAGTTTTTCTTCCTGTTAAAAGGCAGGTTTTCTTTCCCACTGTCGCCATTTGCTTGCTCAAAGGGGTTTCTTTGATGTTGGGTGTTTCACTCATTCATTTTAGTGGCGTCTTTATCTTCCAATATTAACCATCTTGAGGCAACTGCTTTTGTGATTTGATGCTATATAAATAAAACTGAATTGAACTGGATGTTGTGGCTTGTTTGTTTTTTTGTTTGTTTTGTTTAACTAGGAGGTTTTTATCTTATTTTTGTAGTCGTATAAAATGAGCAAATATATTTATGAAGAAAAAAAGAATTCAGTGATGGATGGATTTGAAAACAAATCTCTGAACATTTTCTTGTAAGAAAGCTCTAAAAAAAAGTTGGTGAAGGACTCGAGGACTGGATTCATATAGTCCACAAAATTTATGTTATGTAGAAACTGACATTTAATTGAAGACAGGAAAAGGCAACGTGTTGGAAATCCTGGGGCGATTATGTATCATCGTTTAGAGTAAGCACTAAATTAAGTTGGTCAACAATAACTTGTGATGCTTCAACCCCCAAGTTGCTAAGTCATGTTAGTATTAACTTATTTACTTCCTTAATTAGGTTTATGGGTCTTGAAGCTGGTTTGAAGTGTTGGGGTATACCATATACATCCCTGGTTTCGAATAAAAACTCATAATTTGGAACACAAGCATTCAGTTTTTTAACTTTAAGTAGATGCTCAAAGCTTTTTGCATTATCACATCGATCAGGATACCTCAGTGTGTTTTTCTAATCTATTCATCATGAAAAACTGGTTCAAGCACATGTTTTCACAGTTTGCGCTTGTTTTTTGCTGTGTCGTTATTATGGCATTTTAAACGCATCACCGAGCCTCACTGCTGTACTTCTCTTAGTATCATGAACTCACTCACTGTAGTTTAATCAGTCCAAAATAATAGAAATAAACCTGTGAGTGGAAACAGTCCTCAGCACATGTGCTGTTTATTCCTGCTGATTAGAATTTGCTCAAACCTGCAATGCTAATGCTAAATAAAATGCAGTTAATAGGTGAATCTACTTTTTAATAGTTTAAGAATAAATGTGCACTGCATTTTATAATATAATTTATTGTATATTAGATTTTTAATTCTGGGGGAATTCTTGGGAAATTCTAACCTGGAATCTTCTGGTGACTTCAGTATTCTCTCCAACTAATAACTCTTGTTGATGCAACTCCTTTCTGAGATGATGGTGGCTATCCGTTCTTTCCACCAGCTGTGTGTAGGAGGGGAACGCCCCCGCTTTTATTCCTGTGAATACAAACAGATTTTGCTGTTACTCTGGTGGTTTTTTGCTGCCCTGCATGCAGTATTCCTCAACATTTCTTCTCCTGCTTCCATTTTCTGGCTTCCATGATCACTTTTATCAATAATCCAAAGTCTGAAAAAATAAAATTATAAATAACTCTTGCAGAGATTTATCTGATCAGATGATGCTGGATAGCTAAGTAGTACTGACCCCACAGCTGCACCACATCATTCAATTTAATCCTCACTGATTTAACACAATCTGTGTTCTTCTGTTGTTGAAGCTCGATCTCTGGGCTCAGTCGCTTTGAGGAAGGCTGAAACCATGGAGGGAGGTCTCCACTTCAACGTGTTCACTGTGGACTTCAACGAGGAGCTGGTGGCGCTTTACGGCGGCAGTTTGCTCAGGCAGACGCATTTCCTGCACGAGAGCATCAAAGCCATCCTGAGGCTGTACAAGGTTAGGCCTTGAATATCAGACTGGGTTACTCCAAGTGACGGAGAGAGAGAGAGATTATAACCGGTCTTCACCTAATATCAAATTTAAAGTGAAGGGAAACTAAGTTGAACTCTACACACGCCAGAAGACTTGAAAATTTCACGGGTTTTTATCTCTCCAGCACCTGAAGACCCCACCTCAGAGCGTTGTGCTCGTCGGTCACTCCATGGGAGGAGTGGTGGCCCGGGCACTGTTCACTTTGCCTCGTTTCAACACTAACCTGGTCAGCCTCATCATCACCCAGGCCTCCCCTCACCTGGCTCCAGTGCTGGCCCTGGACCCGTACCTGCTGGGTAAGAGTTGGTCAAACCTGCTCAGTTCGACTCGTTCATGTAGCATAAACAGATTTCTACAGTTTTTTTTTTCTCTGCTTGGTTGCTGTGTGCAGATTTCTACTCTGCAGTCAGACAGAAGTGGGTTAACCAGGCAAACAAGCTCAGGAATGTCACAGTTTTGTCCGTCGGGGGTGGTTATCGTGACTACCAGGTCCGCTCCGGCCTCACTTCCCTGCCGTGTCCTCCAGGAGACCCGAACAAGCTGTCACTGGTGGTACGATTTGCTCCTGAATAAAGTTTCAATTCAGCCCTTTTTCTCTGGTTCCTTTTGGTATCGTTCTCACTTTGGGACTATTTGAAGGAAAAGTTCTCATTTTGTGTTGTTTTTGACTCTAACTGCTGTTTTTTAAAATGTACTTTTGTATCTTAAGTTTTTTGTCTTGTTTTTACCAAGGTGACTGCAGTTCCCAGGACGTGGGTGTCTACTGATCATCTGTCCATTGTCTGGTAAAGGACTTTTTCCTTTTTTGGAGCCATATTTAAATATTACTAAAATTATTTATGTTTGTGTGTCTTTGTGTTTCAGGTGCAAGGAGCTTGTTCTTGCCACTGTCAGGGCGTTCTTTGATCTTATCGATCCTGAAACCAGACAGGTGTGAACAACAACAACATGTGTTTTCCTTCTGAGGAGACATGAAAGACAAACCTTCATCAGAGAGAGTTGGGAGATGGGAATATTTAAAGCAAATGAATAAATCTCACAACCTAACTTAATCAGTTTACTCTTAACAGTTCACAGAAAACTCTGAGAAGAAGTTAGCTGTGCTGAACCATCATTTCATTAAACATCCTGTGAGGTTGCCTGGAGAAACTCAAGAGACACCAGTCTCCATTTCAGGTCTCCATCTCTTCTTTTATGGTTCATGGCGACAGTGTAATACACTTGCATCCAAAGTTTCACTGTACCTCACTGTGCATTAATGATGAATCACTAAGATCAGTGTCCTGTTTGTTTTCTTTTCCAGATCTTCCTGATGCATGGAGTGAAGTTAACACACTTCGTCTGGCTTACAGCACACCAAAGGTACAACAGAGCCTCACCCATCTGTAATGATGATTAATAATTGAATGGATTATCTGCCAGTAGCTGATACAAGTTGTAAAAGAAAGTTATTTTAAATCTATAAAATGTATCTACTCGGTAAAAATGAAACCATCTGGAGTGATGTCTAATCCATAGACTGTATGAAAAAGATGGACGTAGCTTACAGGTCTGAAAAATGAAACCAGTGCAGTAGTGCTTAAAGGCCATGAGGGGGCGGGGCCTCCTGTTTCAAAAAGAATTCTGATTGTATAGAAATTATAAAATTACTTGTGACCTCAGTAAACATGTTCCTGATTCATTGTTCGTGATTACAAGCGCTACTTTAGAGTCTTATCGAATATAACACAATGTTTATTGTGTCGTTATCGTCTCATTAAAAATAAATGAAAATAAGATAATAAATCAGGCTGTGCTTTACGGTGTGACTACACTGTGCTTGAAGAGTACGAGTATGAGCGTGTAGCGTCCCATAAACGATGTCTCAGTTAAACCCACATGTCGCACTTCACATCTGGTCAAGGCTACAAAACAGGATTATTTGACTAATTAATCTGACAAAACAAACAAAGCCATTACAGTAATCATAAGTGTTTTGCTCTCTGTTTGTACAGGAAGGACAACCCAAGTTCTTCCTGTTTGCCCTGTCGAGTCGCAGGAAAGCCTACAGCCATTTCTACTGCCGGAGCAACAACCTGGTGAGTTACTACCTTTTGTTTTTGAGCTGTAAGAGCTTGATAATATTAACATGTGTAAGAGTTAAGGCTAAATGCTTCATATTTAGTGCAGAAGAACCAAGAACATCTTTTTAAATTTGAAACCAAGTGAAAAGAGATTCTGATTTATTGTCCAACAGGAGATGACCAGCTGGGTGTACGGCTGTTTGCAAAAGAATGGCTCATCATGGTAAGAATATCATTAATGTCAAGCTTTTCACACCACCTTTATTCTCAATAAGCATCTTTAATATTTTTCTCCAATGTGAAAAATGTGATGGAGTTTGTGGATGTGTTACACAATTATTTATTTCTGTTTCTTTTATGTCTCTTTTCCTCCAGTGTGTTTGCAGCGGATCTGTCTAAGGGAACTGAGCTTTTGCCTCCCTACAAGGTAACTATGGTCTAAAAGAGACTCCATTCAGTTCAGTCTTTGTCCCATCAGCTGTCCTAACAGTCTGTCGTCCTCCTCAGGTCCTGACTCTGAGGCTCAGTGACTTGTCGTCTTTTACTCATCTGTTTGTCTCGGCCTCAAACCTCAATGGCAAGCAGGTACTTCAAACTAAACAATGACTCAGTATTTTCAGATTAACCTGCAGTAAAAATGTTCTGCTGTTTGTCATTGTTATACTTCTACTTCCATAGCCTATATTTGAAATGAGGAGACCAGTGTTGGCTTGTTTTATTTAAACTTTAAGCTCCAGATCATCTTTCTGGCTGTAGATTTTGTACACAGCTTTCCTAAGAATAGCTGAGTTTAGTCATGAGTGTTTGTGGTCAATGTGCACAAGTCCACAGTGGCATCAAAGGATTTAAAGGGTTTTTTTGATATATAAAAAGCTGAAGCTGTTTTCACTCCTTTTACCGTTTTAAACCTAACAGAGGTGAAACTACAATGGTTCACAAATTCTGCTAAGACTAGCTTTAACCTCCTAGTTCCATAGTGTAAAGTCTGTGTGATGTCCAATTTAGCCCGCAGATGTTATTGTGCTGTAAATTTACCGTGAGCAAATGGATTTGATGTGTGCTGCGTCCTGCTTGCTCTACTTGGGCAAGCCTCTCTCAACTAAACCAAAAGCAGTGATGGAGGTGATCCAGTTGTATGTTACATGCTGATTCTGACCTGATCTGTGATCAGCCTGAGACTACCCAAAAACAGAGGCCAGAAGAGGAAGAAGCCAAACAAACAAACCCCCCTTTTTTTAAAGAGCTTGTCAAGGTTTGTGTGTCTGTCTGCTCTGCAGTTCACGGTGGAGTGTGAGTGGCAAAGAGAAGAATCTCAGACTCTGTCTGTCGCAGTGCCGCATGTCCTGTCCTTCGGTGAGTAATCTAGTAAAACAGATTCACAAACTTTAAAAAAAAAAAAAAAAAAGGTTGTTTTTTTTCAGCAATTGTTATTTGGGTTTTTAGGTTTGACCTCGAGTGATGTTACGGTTAACTCCTCTGGACTTCTTCACACCATCGAGCTGCAACACTTTCACCAGGTAGCGTTCACTGTGTTCTCAGGTTCTAGTCAGGATCAGCTTCCCTGTTTCAGCTAAATTTAAAACTCCTCTGTGTCTCCAGGTCTATCAGGCTTTCAGAATTAATGTTGCAAGCCAGTGCAAAGTACAGAAAGGTGAGTGTGTGTTGTTGGATCAAGAGGCTCATGTGCTCATGCTGTAATGTAATAGTGGTGACTGATTGTGTGTCTGCAGACAGATTGCCGAGCGTGTACAGGATAAAGGTGCCATGGTTTCGAGAGGACTCTTTAACCACGGTCAGGTGAGTTTCTGAAGTTATTCTTAGAGACTATGTTTAAGTAACCATGGTGAGCCAAATGCTTTTATTTTCCCTCCACATTTTGGCCCGTCTGATATCAGTAAGATCGAATTTCCCACTGCGGTCATGCCAGAGCGCAGAAGCCTGACCCACCTGCAGTTCCAACCTTCTGTTTGGGAGGGACAGCCAATCAAACGAAAGTTTACTTAAAGAGGTTTTACATCTGCTTGTTAGAGACAGAGGATGAACTGAGGGGTTTGACTTAGACTAGTACCAGTAAAACAAGAACTATTTTTGACCTATGATGAGTAGCTTTTCTTTTAACCTGTCATGATTGATGTGATCTGTCTGCCAGCGTGCCATCAGTGACGGAGATCTCAGGGATGCTCCACACAAGTCGTCCAGACAACACCTCAGGTGCACTCCTGCAGCTCCACACTGCCCCCAACTGCCAGTATAAGGTACTACCTTCCAGCTACCAGAAAGAAGGTCGAGTCTTCTTCACATTTGTTGTGACAAACTGTTAAATATTTACCCTGTGACTTAGGTCTCCATAAGAACTTCGTTACCCAGGGTGCTCGGACAGGTAGGAATTGCCTTGTTTTATTTATTCCGGTGAAATTAGGGGCATCGTGGCATTCGAATAAATCTTTCATCTTTAATTACCAACTTGATTCACGCTGTGGCATCTTATCTGACAGATACTGAGGTTCTGTGGTCACATGGTACCAGTGTACACAGCTGTAACCCTCCTTCTGGCCTGTGGGGGGCAGGTGTCCTCCATCCTGAAGTCAAGGCGAGCTACAGACATGAGTCAGATGGTGGGCAAAGGCCTGCAGCCCCACAAAGTCAACCTGCCTGTGTATATTTTGCACATCGCACTCAGGTAAGCTTAATGGTTCTAATATGAAGCTGAGTGGGAAGGTTATTTTTTTTCTGGCCTCAGAAAAAACTGACTGTAGTTAAAACCGCCTCGGCCTCCTGCTTTAATTTAAGATAAATTTTCATATAACAGTCAAACCCCTCAGGATGGTTTTCCCTTCTGTCCCCCCGCACAGCTGTAGCTGCTTTCAGGAGGTCTGGTCCATGCTTTTCCTACCCTCTATGGACACACTCCCTCCAACCTTCCCTGATGTGGCATTTCATGAAGAGGAGACACCAGGTGAAGAATGGGTTCACCTCCTCTCCCCTCTGCTGTATATTTTTGGGGCAGCTGTGGCGTACTGGGGCAGCACTCTACTCAGACTTGTTATCCGGCTGATCTCGTTGGTCTTGGCTCCATTGCACAGGTACCGAGGTTCATTCAAACATTTGAAACTGTGGCTGATTGTCTGTTTGTTCGCTTGAGTTTTAATTCTTTTCATCTGCAGGCCGTCTGTCTCCAGAGACTGTGGCACCCTGCGGCTGCGAACCCAGCTCCTCATCACGCTGTGTCTGACTGTTATGGGCGGGACTTCCTGTGGGGCGTTGTCGATATTTGCCTCGTTCCTGTTTCACCTTTATAGGGTGAATATTGATTTAATTAAATTATTTATAATTCTGCTGTCCAGAGCTGCTTAGCAGGTAACACTTCCTGTAATTCAGATTATAATGAAGGAAAAAAAAAAGCCTTAAAATATCTAATATTTACCATAAATTTACTTTAAATTTGATTATGAAGATAAAAACAGTGCTGGGCAGGTAAATTTTGTGAATCAGGTTTTAAAGCTTTTGGGTTTTTCATGAGACTTTCTCAGGAGTATTCAGTTTTTCTTTGTCTTGACCAAACACCAAAGCAAACAGATTTTCTAGTGTATATTTTATGTTCTTAAATAGATATTTAAAAACCATGAATTGTATTAATTTATTTTTTAAGTGGTGCAGGAGCCTTTGGTGTAGCATGGACTTCCTCTGTGGAAACAAACTCTGTTTTGAAGTTTCAGCTGAGCTGCTGTTTGTGTTTGTTTGTTGCTCTCAGGTTCTGAGGCTGCAGATGACAGAAAGATATTTGAGACACATGTTGAATCTGGTAAGATGTTCAGGTTTAACTAACATTTATGTTGTAAGATTTTCATTTTTCTTTCATATCAGGCTGTAACCGTACTTAATTTTGCTGCAGTGATTGAGTGAGTGGTTGGCTGGCAACGGCCTCAAGTGGACAATAGGGGAACTGCAGTTTATGGCATTCCCACATCTGCTTATTTAAATACAGATTGCCAAACTGTTATAAACCAAGCTTTGTCTGATTCATCTCCTCTGGTGTCTTTCCAGGCTCCCCGGAAGCACAAAGAAGCTGAGAATGGCACAATCGATCCCGAATGCTTGAGCAGGTCTAAAGAAAGCAACGGCACCCCCTTGCTGTCGGAGTGCGCCCTGCAGGAGGTGAGGGATGACCTGCAGCTCCACCTCTGCCTGTCGGCGCTTTTCACGCTGCCCGTCATGCTCAGCGGTCCCTCGCTCATCCACTGGATCCGTAACCTGAGGTATGTGAGAGAAAGATGCTGCTCTGCACATCAGCGTTAATTTCTCTGAACCTCACAGTTGATAAATAGATGCTAACTGTGCAGTATGTTTGTTTTAACGCACATGTGCAGTAGCACAATGACTACAGCAGTCTCCAGTAGAGTGTCTGATTTACAAAGGAAGTCTACCTGAAGTTCACCCATGATCACACAGCTGCTGCTCTGGCTTCAAGCAGACAGCCGAGGGAGCAAGCTGTTATGACTCAGTGTGTGCGGAAGAGGCCGAGAGATAAATAGGACTGCATAATCATTTTTTTATTATTACACTTGAGTAAATTTTATATATATATATATATAAGTAGCACATTTTATGCTTACAGCTCCATTACTGTACCCTAAACTACTTTCCTTGCACACGGGGAAGCATTTGATGGGTAAATGTGTGGATGTCATGGAGGCAGAGTTCAGGGCAGAAACCGTCATATCCTTTGGATTTTCCCTGTAAATTCACATAAATGACTATTTATTATATTAAAAATGTTACAGAGTGCACCTACTTGGTTATTTGCATAAAATGCCTAAATGTCTGGACTTGTTATTTGGGTTTTTAGGTTTGACCTCGAGTGATGTTACCGTTAACTCCTCTGGACTTATAAGAATATGGGAACTGTATGCTTAAATAAACACGAAGGTACAGAGTGTGATCATTAGGATAAGGAGTTCCATATTAACGCTCTCTGTTTGTTGAACCTGTGCAGGTATTCCACCCAGCTGAATCCCGACCCTTGCTGGCCATACATCGTGCCTCTAATTTTTGTCTACATGCTGCTTATTAACTGTAACACTTTAAAGCTCAGCAACAGGTAGGAGCACACCTGCCCAGCACACACATTCCCAGTGAGATCCTTCATGCTAACAGTTAACTTGTTCTTCATGTTTTTCAGTAAACTGCTGCCTCTGACCTCCTGCCTCCCTCTCCACTTGGCCATCATCATGGTGACTTTCTCTCCTCTTCACCTCTACAGAATCACCTACTTCCTGTTGGCGTCACTCATCCCGCTGGCCTTGTGCTGTCTCCTCTGACAGCACCGGGCTGGTTTCAGTCTCCATCTCCACCATAACATGCCTCTTCTTAAGTCGCAGCCTGACTCTCTGAGGCTGGTTGAGGACTTTCTGTACCGGGCTGCTATGGAGCGGAGCCATAGACATACATAGCCTGGTTAACTTCCTGCTCACTGTTAGCACTAAAGGCTCCGTGGTGATTACACAGGGTGTTTCAAAAAGAGAGGGTGTAATGGCCTCAGAGCATTTGGTGCAAATATGGCTCTGTTGGATTGTCCTGAAACCATGTTTGCCTTACTCTGTATATCTATAGCTCTGCCTTCAGGGAGCGCCAGCTCCACAACCAGTGAAGCTTCTGATATGAGAGACTGTGGAAAGGGTGTTACTGTTATAACATGATGTTGTTTCTGGTGTCAACAGTGGCGTTGTTCACTGTGGTCACTGTGCTGTAAACTCTTACACTGCCTACTGCTTAGCAACAACTTACAGCTCTAACTGTTACCTGCTCACTGTCGTAGTACCTCCTCTAAACCAGAGGCAGAGTATTACATTTATTCCGTTAGAGAAATCCAAAGCAGGCGTGTTTATGTTCTCACCTATTTGATGCACAATATTGACGGTGGCTGCAAAATGAAGGGTTGCACTGAGGAAGGCTTGTGTACATGTGCAGGTTTGGGGGCGTCTTGTTATCCAGAGAAAGTCTGAATCTCCATGATCTCTACTACACCTGATCAATAAGAAACATTCTACTTCCTGTTTATTTGATTTTAAAAAGTTTAGCTGCAATTCAGGGAAGGGTACAGCAGGGGGAGCTCATGAGATAGTGTAAGAAACTAAACAAACTAAAAGAATTTTCACCGGATTTTCAAACATATAGCGGATCGAAACTACTAAAATAATAAATCTGTAAATCTGTAACTGAATTAAAATTATATCAGATGCCTAAAACAAATATTCATTAATTTATAACAAAGTAAATAGAAATTTCTATTTTAATTTCCCATATCTTATTTTTTTTCCAATTCCCTGTTACCCTTTTATGTCTGATGGGGTGTTGCTGTCACACCACGGGGCAAGCGGGCAATGTGGACACCCAAGTTTGTGAATACGACATATGATACTGAAACCGATACCATAGATTCGCCTACTGAAAATCTAGGACAAGTTCGAAATCTCAGTGAGCTCAAACTCGAGGTCAGAAGTCAACTATTCTACATATCACCTGGGCATTCATTATTATATTTTGCTTTAATTTTGGCAGTTTCAGTGCTCTGTAGAAAAAATTTATCCCTGCACGTGTCAGACTGTTTAGGGTTTTTTTTTTGTTTTTGCTTTTTTAAAAAAAAAAATATTACATGCCATTTTGAGAAGGAAGTGAGCACTTTAAAGGCATTGCTGTAAAACGTGTTCAGAAATCTCTATGTGCCAAACTCGCTGTAATCCTGTTGATGGGTTAAAAGTAAGTTAGACCAAAATGCCAAGGAATTTGAGAGATGAATGCTAAGCAGAAATAAATTAGTGTTTTAAGGTGGAACAAATCATAAATATTTCATTATGGGCATACAATCACATGTTCATTCTATATCAGGTGTGGTTGTTGGTGTTTTGAGGTGAAGGCAGTGTGTTGTTTCTGTGTACGTTCTCTGTGATATCCGGACCTTGAATCCTGGGATTGGAAGTAGAATTTGCTTTTTGCTGGTGTTGTGTTGAGTTTAGTATTTATCTTATGTTTGAGTGTTGGTTGAAGTTTTTTGTTTTCATTTCATATTTGAAACGTTGAAAAAACATAACATAAAAGAACTTTATTTATAAGATTTGGATTTTAACAATTTAACAAGGAGAGGATAGAGTTGTTTTGTTTTTTTGCACTGTCAGCGAAAAAAATCAAACCAACCCCACGTTATTTATCTTGGCACCTCCTGACTTCCATATTTTTCTTTGTTTCAGAACAAACCCTTCAGCTTCCTGCTGAGGATGTAAATATTCTAAAACTGCTCACAAAAGTTTGTTATCATTAATGTTGGTGTGAACCAACATTAATGATGGTGCATTGATTTGGGACTATTTTCAGTTGCAGATTATTACAAATTTAATGCTCTAGTAGAATACAATGGATACGGGTTGAAAATATGAATGAAGTGAGACCTTTTACAAGAAATATGACAGAAATAAGACTTTTGTTTTAATGAGACGAGAGAGCATCTGATATGTTGAAGCTTTTGAATGGAAAGAGTCATAGAGAAAAAATCTGTTGCCACAATTACTTCAAACTGTTATCATTGCTGAAAACAGTTTTGTGTGTGTGTGTGTGTGTGTGTGTGTGTGTGTGTGTGTGTGTGTGTGCTGTTATAACATGTAGGCCTGACTTTTTGTTGCCTTTTTGTTCAATTTTTGTTGCCAAATTTACATTTTTAAGCCAGTTTCACTCACATTCGTTTGACCTTAAATCAGTTTAATCAGTTAAAATGTTTTTTGTGTGATAAATATGTGGGTGTTGTGCTCCAAGATTACTTAACAAAAAAAAGGGAAACATGTTGTCAAACATTATTTTGGCTGCTGGCCAAACCATATTCAAGTTCGAAATGGGGTAATGTGTCTAAAATTGGCTGTAATTCCTCAATAGCTTGGAGATTACTTTTATTCAGCCCCTCGAATTAAAGCAGAGAGAGTCTACTTTAAGCCTGTAGTCACTATGTCACTCTAACTTGAATATGTTTTATTCAGTAACTAAAATAAATCAACTTCAAGCATATAAGAAGCTAGCTCTGAGAGTTTGTATTTCATGTCATGCCTTTCTCTCTGGAAAATTATGAAGGACCAAAAATGCTGAAATAATAACTTCATAAACAAATAAGATATGAAATGCGCTAAAATTAATAAGTAAAAATTAATGTAAGTATTACTTAATTTATGGCACATTTTATAACATTGATTTTTTTTTTTTCATTTTATTTTTAACTTGTGATTTAATCTTCCATTGTTATTAGTTTGTAGTTAAGTTATGCGTTTGGAGGTAGAAAGGAAAATTATCTGCATGACAGTGCCATCATTTTTATGAAGAAAAAAATCAGTTTTAGCTAAATAAAGATGAAATGAAGAAACACGTTTGTGGAGATAAATGGAAGGAAAAAATTTAATGGAAATAAATAAATACTATATAATTGATATTATGGGAAACAATATGGTGACAAATATGTCGCTCTTTTTTTCATTAATTGAGTTGTACAACTTTTTACTTTTTTAATCTTTATAATTTGATCTTTATTCATTTCCCTGTTGTACATGAATTTTGACAGCTTCAGTCCTCCGTACTAACAGTGTCTTATTTTATTTCTGTCTTACATCCTGCTGCTGCTGCTGTGCCTTTTTGCTTTCTTGTGTAAGCAGCAGTTTGTGTTCAGATCTCAGCAACTTTGTGCTGGCTGAAGCCCTACATTGAATGTAAAGCATATTTCACTCCTTTGTGTCCACTCGCAAAGCTCCTCTGTTTTCTTTACATTTTATTTAAAATGTGGGACTCTGTAGTAACTAAATACTAAAGATTTAGGGACCAATCAAGCTCACAGTCAGAAGTCAACACGCTCTGCAGAAACCGCTGTTCCCAATGTGAATGTACCTGCACTGAATGTCTCTGTGTGTTTGAGTTTATACAGTGGTGTAAGTGTTCAGCTTCCCTCTGCACTTGTGCGTTTTTGGTATAGTTTTAGTGCTTTGAGATGCACATCGTCTGCCTCGCTGTGAATCGGTGGCAAACACAACTTTGTAGAACAAATTAGTAGCGATGAGAGTTATGTTTTCTATAAATAGACTTGTGACTTGTATCGGTGTTCACTGTGATCACATCCTTCCACATGCACTCTCGCACCAAGTAATCCACACACACAGACAACTGCTGTTCTGGGGACATTTTGCTATTTCAAATTTGGTGGGTTTTGTGTTTTTTAAAAATGTGATGAAGCTCTTGGAATACATTCAACATAAAGTTAAAACATTTGGATTGAAATAAAGCAGGAAATCAAATTCTCATTTTATTTTGTTCTATTTTGAAATGCTGTCACTTGAAACCAGTGTGCCAAACTGATGCATTCGCTTTGTAGAGCATCTGTCATATATATGAATGTGCAGCATGGCTTCAGTTCAGGTAAAAGGACCTTTGCATAGAAGGGCACGTTATTCCTCCAAATCCCTCTGTGGAAGCCTCCAGAAAAAAAACCTCAATTTGTATAAATTGCATAAAATAGGCGCAGGAATTGCTGCCACAATGTCTCCTATTATAGCCAAGATCGGCAGTTAAAGTGGACCTTTTCTTATTTCCAACTTCATATTTTTTATTCTTGGACTCCTCTGTAGCAGCTTTGCATGATTTACAGTTCAAAGTAGTTCTTCTTTATCTTACACTGGGCCAGTTTTAACTCCTCTCCCTTTAAGGCCCTCATTAGCAACAGATTTGAAAAAGCAGGTAGGTGGTTCTTCTATGTCCCCAAATTTGGATATACCCTCTTTATGATGTCATACAGTTGCAAACTTAAAAAACAAAACTGTCTGAAACTGAGTGTTCTGAGCAGTCTTAAGATGGTATTTTCAGAGAATGGGGATTATCTCTTTATTTGAAAGTTTCATCATGCTTGGTATGAAATACAGGAAAGCAGAATAGAGTTTATAACATCCTAAATGTCAACCTGTTCAAAGTGATTATTTTATTTTTATTTTTTTATTTTTTTTAGGCATGCAAATTTGTGTGAACAGCTAAAAATATGAGCTTTTGTTTGTTTGTTTTCTCATCCAGCTACTGACACATTTCTGTCATATTTAACAGGATTACTTTCTTCCAGGGTTCCAGTCAGCAGCTTGACCTCTCCTCTTCCTCTTATCTGCGTTTTCCTAATTTCATTACACTCGGTAATCTTCCGGCTTCTCCTGCTTTCTGAGCATCATTTATTTTAATGTTCGGAGTGCTGGTAGCTGCTTACAGGAGCTTGTGCCTGCTGATGGTTGGGAACGAGTTCATGAACTTTTGAAAATGGCATCACCCCATCCTTTCATTAGGTCTCTAAAGATGCTCATTGAGGTTTGAAACATTAGTAAAAGTTAAATAGAGGTCAAGTCTTTTGCAAGGTGTCGTTTTCATTGTCCAGAAAGATTTGTTATAATTTCGGTTTCAGACTTCAGTTTGTCTTCTTGCTGAACTGAACCACAGTAAGAGAAGTTTTCACCAGACTACTGCATCCCACTGCATCTTTCTTTCTTTTTTTTTAATGAGCTTGCTTCTCTGGCTCCCAAGGTGACACTCACTCTGATTGATCTCTGGAAACATCCTTTGTGCAGCTGCCAAAACCCGAGCTGCTTTTACCCCTAAAAACAGACTAGAGGCTTCAAGATGTCGCAGTAATTTAAAGTCTTAAAATCAGCCATTTTACTGGTACTTACTGTAAATTCAAGTGTTAAAAGTTATCAGCATTTGCAGAAACTTTGATTTTATCTGTATTGTGCTGAAGAGATATGAAGTGAAGCTGAACTGTGGCCTGGCTGTACTTTCATGTACGTACCAAAAGAGGGAGCAGCGAGTTAGTGTAACCTTGCATTTAATCAATAAAAAGCACATTCCTATTTACAGTGGCAGCCAAGGAAAAGGCTGGTAAACTGCTGCCCCCTGGTGGTGAAAGTTTTAGTCGTATTTCCCAGAACAAACACAAAAACCTTTAAACGACACACATCCTTGATCTCTTTTTTTGCTGTTAAGTGACAGCCAAAGAAACAATATCAGAGACAGCTGATTGTTTTTATTCATAATCATCTTCTGTACAAACTTGTGATGTTTAACAGTGTTTACCTGGTGATATGAAATGTTCTTACTGCAGTCTATAAGTGCTTTACAGTTCAGTGGTTCCACTTGTCTTGCTTCTGCCTACAGTGACTTTAATACCTGTAACCTCCTGCTAGCTGGTCCTCGTTGTGCAGAACTAGTTAGTCCTCTAACACATGCTCATACATCAGGCAGTTGGAAACGTCTTGTTTTGTTTATTCACGTTTTCTGAAGAGGCTCTGGCGTGGACGAGTATTTAATCCTCAGGTTTCTGTGTCGGTGTGTCAAAATCAGTCGCTTTGATGTTTTTATATCTCTCACATTTTTATCTGATGTGACTGTAAATGAGCAAACTGTGCAATTTTTTTTTGGCACTGTTGTTGTTGGAATAAAACCACGAAAATGACTGTTTTTGTTTTTATTCTGTAGTGATGTGATTAGTTATTGTTACAAAAGCATCCTCGGAGCAGTAACAGCTGAACTTACCTTGAGGTATCCAGAGACTTGCTGAGACATCAGTGTGATTAAGATCGATGCTTCCCTGCTCATAAAATTTAAAATTTGGTATTCAAAAGATATTTGTATGGAGGGCCAAAACTATCAAAATGAAGTATAAACTAATAAACAACACATTTTAGACATTTATTTTTATTTTATTCTTTGCAGTTTACTTTATTATATTTTATTTTATCTATTGACTTCTCCATTGTATTTTCCTTTCATTTATTTTGATATTATTTCAATCCATCCTTACATACTGCTTCAGTCATACATATGTTTTCTTTTGAACATCCATCTATTGAACTTTCTGTGTTTATAATTTAACAGTTTTTGTAAATCAGGGCGCAGCTGAAATAAGCTTTTATTGTGATTTTAATGTGACTGAAACGATTTTAAAAGTAGTGAATGATGATTAGTAGTAGTATTTCAGGCTATACCTATAACTGTTGACCACATATCAGCGTCTCACCAGAAAATACTCTTTACACTACACTTTCATGCAACACCAAAGACTAGTATGTAAGAGATGGGTATGAGGGCACTAACTAATCAGTGAAGTCCTGTTAAAGCCTGAAATGCAGCGTTTTCTCCACAGTCATCTTAGCTTTTCAAACCAGCATACAGCCCTAAAGTATGCCCTGTTTTATCCTTTTTTAACTCTAATGGGAGCATAATTTGCAAAACATACATCATTCTGTATTAAATTAGACCTCAAACCTCAAACTGCAGACTTGAATCATAATGTCATTAAGTGTCATGGATCAGGCCAGCTGAGGGCCATCTTCCCTACACAGCAGGATTATTTTTTCAGCCAGAGCAGTCTCCCCCTGCTGGTCATCAAAGCCCATGCAGTTTTTAAGAGACCGGTTCACAGTTTCTGCATTACCTTCTGTTTCAGTTTGGCACTCTTGCTGCACGCCTTCTATACAGTCACCAGAGGACTGTGTGTGCCTGCCATCACCTGTTTATCTACAATCTGAATCACATTATTAAAGGAACCAAGTCAGTGTTTCTACAAACTCCACTCAATTTTACTTAACAAAAAAAAAAGTCTCTAAAATGAAATCGGTTATACCTTAATGACTACAGAGTTTTGGTGATACATACGGAGAGATTCAGAGGCTGAAAGCAAAATAAATAAATACATAAAAATTTTAAGAAGTTTCTAATTTTTGAAATTTTCATAATTCATAACAAATTTTAAGCCTAATCATTTTTTGATGCATTTATTTAATTTTATTTAGTAGTTTATTAATTAACCCTTTACAGCCGATCGGAGCGGGCACGCTCTGTTTTGCGTAACTATTTTTAAATCCCGGTAGCACTGCAACCACGTAAGCTAGCGCAAAAATTTTTTTTGCATATGAAACCGGAGGAGTTGTACTTACATCTTATGCCATCAGCTTGTCCTAGGTCACGGTTTCCTTCCACATAAAGCTTTGCAAAAACTGCATAAAAAGCGCTTGCAGGAACAAAAACATAATATTCCAGAAACACGCTTTACCGATCCAATCAGCTGGTCATAACACTTCCTACGTTGGAATAGACGTCAGCGCGAACTTTTGCATTTCCGCCATTACCTGCCCGAAACCGGAAGTGACGTCATTTTCGCGGAAATGTAGTCTTTTTTACTATCAGGGCCTCAGGGCCTATACTCGTCTTTTTAAAAGTTATCTTTGACTTTATGACTTTCTGTGTCGTTTCTGGGATGCTTAGGACTCATATTGCACTGCTGGAAATAGTTTATTTTGATGCATATGCTGCTTTTTTGCAAATTTGCAGTATAATATTTATTTTCGTTTTTCCTGCAGTGTATAAAAATTGGTGTATTTCAAAAATAAAACTATGAAGACACTCAAAATAAATTTCCTGTGGTGGGAAACTATTTTGTGCAACTTTTTTGTATTTACAGTTTTGAGGGATAAGCCTCTTAAATTTCTCTAACTACAAATATATGTTAAAAAAGCAAAAACGATTTTCAATTTTTTTGTAGTTTATTGCACTTTTTTGCAATTTATGTAATTACTATGCACTTAATGAATACATATTATTAAAATCTGGGCTATAATGGTTGTATTGATGTATAGCAACTTGAAATGCTCCCAAAAATGGCTCCACAGCATGTAAAAATATAATATAAGCTCTGGCGGACTTGGTTCTATGGTAGGTCTTAAAGGGTTAAAGTCGCATAAATGAACCCACCAAATATTACTTTCTTGGAAAGAAAAACAACTATATTAACAATATTTATTATTTATAACTGCTACAGATGTTTGGGTTTTTTTGCGGGGGAGTAAAATTGTCATATACGTTTTTAGAGGCCCGTGAAACATGAATTTGTCATCTTGTGATATATTTTTAAATTTTATTATTCTTTGATTTTGTCAGACTTGGTCCTCTATAGAGCTTAAACGTTTTTAAATATAGTGCTTTAGTACTGTGTGTGTCTGTGGTGCAACTGTGGTGCAACTGTAGACAGGTAGACAACACTAAGCGCAGTCTCACTCTCTCTCTCGGTGGGACGTGTCCAGATTCACGCCCACTCTGGCATTTTCCCACATTAATATGCAGCGTATATACTGTACGTTATCGTCAGTCAAAAAACTACATCTCAGGCTCGATGATCCTCTGAAGAAATCCCTCCGCGCCCTGAAGAGGAGAAGTCGCTCCTCTGCAAACACCCTGCCGTTACGCCATCCTCCGGCAGGCTACGCTTTTCTCGTCCCTTCCTGGACTGACAGCAGCTGCTCAGCCCAGTCAGGTTTTGAGCATCTGCTGGGACTGCTGGGAGGACGTCGGCTCAGACTGCAGCGCACTGCGATGCAGAGAGGGGGGCACTGAGGCTGTGATGCCGGAGCTGTAATCCGTAAACCTGTGCGGACGGAGCGCAGGGTGGAGCTGGCGGAGTTCGTGCGCACACCTCTGGAAGCTGCTGCCGAAGAGGAGCCTCTGCAGCGCCGCAGCTTTGCACCGGGAACCCGCCTCGGTACGTGACTCCGAAACCGAAGCTGCCCCGGATCCCACAGGGAGGGGGGCCGTAGCGCGGCACCCCGCCCGTCTCGCCTCATTTGGACCGCACGAACCTGAGCCGTGATATTCGCGCACGGAACCCACCGAGCAGCCCGCACCTCTGCGCCAAAGGTAAGCAGCTCCGCGAGGCGCGGGGGCGCGTGCAAGCGCTCGTGGCTTCCAGCAGGCAACGAGAGCCTGTTGATGATGATGATGATGACGATGATGAAGGTGCTGCTTAGAGTAGCTGAACGTGCCGCTGAAGCGCCGCAGCACCGACTCCGCGCTGCTGTTCGATCGATTTCTGTGTCACGCGCGTGTCTCTGCACAGACGCGCAGAAAGGGGAAAATGACGTAGGGAATTCCCACAGTAATCCAATAGCGCGCGGCGACACCTGCACATTCCGCCAGTGCGGCGCGGCCTGCTGCCGCGCGCGGCCTCGCCAGCGGCGCGCGCGCGGACTGAAACGATTAAAGTTGGATGCGATCCGTTATGTAACGTGATTCTGCTGACGCGGTTCGCCATGAGCGGGGGTTACCTCCACGTCCCCGCGGCTCGGGGGTGCTGCTCCCTGTTTACGTCCACGGCGGTTCAGCTCAGCCCGCCGGGATCGATCTGAATCACAATCCATGAAAGTGCAAAAACATCACCTCGTGTGTCTCTGCACTAATGAAGTCCTCACCTGTTTATTTAAGGCAGAAGGTATTGGGGACATGTGGCAACATGTGGGCTTGAATACTCAGTCTACGTTTAATTTACCTGATGTAATTTTACATGCACATTTGAATTTTTCTGTTTAATCCGTAGAGGATAAAGTTGTTGTTTCTCACACTCACAACAACTCCCTCACCACTGGATGTAGCTCAGGATGCTGTAGGACCACAAGGCTTACCTCTTTATGTAAGACTGTACATGATTTTTATGCCTCCTCTCCCTGTCCCACACACTGAGGCACTGCTGCACTCTTTGAGTGGCTCAGATATTCAAAATTCTGTATTTCAGGGAATGCCAAACCTTTAATTTGCATCATCAAAGATACAAAATTCGTTTAGTAAATTATACTCTTATACTTGTTGTCCCACATTTACTTTCTTGTCATTTGGTCACACTGGTACACTGCCATGGTGTGCCATTTTGTGGCCCGCAATGGGGGCTACCATATTAGCTACACACACCTTCAGAGTGGTCCAGTCTGACAGTGTAGATGCGCCAGCAGTGGGTTTAGTGGATCAGTGTTGAACACCAATGCTCCAGAAAGGGTCAGGGTTAGAAATGTGTTTCTAGTCCACGAAATAAATTGTGGTTGAAGAGTGTGGGACAATACATGAATGATGAATCACATGAGTCACATTTAACGACGTGATAAACACAAACATTCATGTTTCCATCACTGGTTTGTGGGATAAGCGAGCGGTGACAATTTTATGATAGAAACTAGTTATTTTCTGGGTCAGCTTCCAGTGTGATGATGAGAGGCAGTTTTGATTATGTAGCTTCACATCACAGCTTAGCAAAAAGCCTTTCTGACTTTCAGCCATCAGGTAGGTAAACAACCCCACAGCAGAGTTATACTGTCCCATTCAGGCCCCAATCCCCCCATAGTTCCCCCTTTAATTTCAACATATTTGTGGTCCTAATTGAGTTTTGCTGTTGTGGAGCCTGCAGTGTCTTTGCTAAATTCCCCTTTGGGAGCAACTTTATTATAAATTGTTTATGCTTTGATCTGCTTTCAAGGTAGGGGTTTGGATGAAATCTGCAAAGCTGCAAGCACGCTCAGCTTTCTCAAAAATCTGATACTTGAAACAGATGCGTTACCCGAGATGAACTGGAACATGCAGAATTTCTGTTTTGCTCTTGCAAAGAAAAGAAAATTTCCCCACTTGACAGAATTTGACG